TTGGTCAAGATCTATCAGCTCTGAAATTTTCAGACCAATCAGGCAACACATTGTTGGGTTGCTGCCCCTGAATTGGTAATTTTAAGAAAATTTTGCAGCTTTTGGTTATTTTCTTGAATATTATTATAGATAGAGATAAACTGTAAACAGCAATAATGTACAGCAAAGTAAGATCTACAAATAAGTCTACATGACCAAAATTGTCAATTGAACCCTTAAGGAGTTATTGCCCTTTATAGTCAATTTTTTACAATTTTCATAAATTTTGTAAATTTTTGTAAATTTTTACAAAATATTTTACACTGTAACTACTGGGCCAAGTTCATTATAGATAGAGATAATTGTAAGCAGCAAGAATGTTCAGTAAAGTAAGATCTACAAACACATCACCATCACCAAAACACAATTTTGTCATGAATCCATCTGTGTCCTTTGTTTAATATGCACATAGACCAAGGTGAGCGACACAGGCTCTTTAGAGCCTCTAGTTTGTTATTATCTTGAATATTATTATAGATAGATATAAACTGTAAACAGCAATAATGTTCAGCAAAGTAAGATCTACAGAAAAGTTAAATGACCAAATTTGTCAATTGACCCCTTAAGGAGTTATTGCCACCGAATTGGTAGTTTTAACAAAATTTTGCAGTTTTTTGTTATTATTTTGAATATTATTATAGATATATATAAACTGTAAGCAGCAATAATGTTCAGCAAAGTAAGATCTACAAAAAAGTTAAAATGACCATAATTGTCAATTGACCCCTTAAGGAGTTATTGCCCTTTAAAGACAATTTTACACAATTTGTTCATCAAATTTGCCATGTTTGCTAACATTTGAAAATCTTCTCCTCTAAAACTGCTGGGCCAATTACCTTCAAACTTTAACTAAATGTTCCTTAGGGTATCTTGTTTATAAATTGTATCCGACATTTGTATCCATCGACAAACATGGCTGCCATGGCTAAAAATAGAACATAAGGGTCAAATGCAGTTTTTGGCTTATATCTCAAAAACTAAATCTTTTAGAGCAAATGTGACATGGGGTAAAATTGTTTAATTGGTCAAGATCTATCAGCCCTGAAATTATCAGACGAATCGAACAACCCATTGTTGGGTTGCTGCCACCGAATTGGTAGTTTTAACAAAATTTTGCAGTTTTTTGTTATTATTTTGAATATTATTATAGATATATATAAACTGTAAGCAGCAATAATGTTCAGCAAAGTAAGATCTACAAAAAAGTTAACATGACCATAATTGTCAATTGACCCCTTAAGGAGTTATTGCCCTTTAAAGACAATTTTACACAATTTGTTCATCAAGTTTGCTAACATTTAAAAATCTTCTCCTCTGAAATACAGGTGAGGGATTCAGGCCCTTGAGAGCCTCTTGTCTAAGAAGCACTCTGCTTTCTTTGGTCCCGAGGGTGACTTTTATAAGCAGGTTTGACTGATGTAACGTTCTTATTGATATGTGAAAAATCAAACAAGATTCTAAGGAAAAAAAAACGCTAACAGAACAAGCTATAAGTAAAACCTGAATATAAGGTTAATTACTGCCGATTCCTTTCTAACTCTCATCGGAAATCAATCCCCCGTGGAAGACTGTAAAACACTAATTTATAAACGTTAAACATCATACAATTTGACTTCAACGACAGCAAAAAACTTTCTATCAGTAAATTGTTTAAGGCCATTAATGAGCAAGTTACTACCAAAACGGCTTTTACTAATCAATATGTAAAATGTTTCCATGCATATCGACGAAGTTGATCTACTGTCCCAGGAATATCTCTATTTGCCTTACTAAGTCTGGTGTATTTTTTATGTAGGATGTTAATAGAGAATTATATTGATCTGGTGTTTTTTAATTGGATCATTATTTCCCATGTGTAGATCGATGCTAAAATTAGGGGTTAATGACTTGTAAAGCCACTGGTGTATGAAATCCATCTATATAAATTAGACTACAGTTTAAAAATAATTACAATTAAGATGTTAAACTGAATTTAAAAAAAATTATTTCTAAAAAGAATCTGTTGAGTTGATACGCCAGGTTACTTCAGGCAGTTTATCACGTAAAATAAAATAATATATAAAATTTTATTTGGCCCAGCTTCCTCAGTGATGGTCTATTTACCTTGAAACTTTTGCATTGGTCACACATCAAAGTTTTTGAAGTGAATCACTTGTAAATGGTAGGTCAATGGTATTTAATATGCAGTTGTATTAGGTATTTTGGTACATCTCATTTAAAAGGAGAATATTTGTCTTACCTACTTGTGTTTGAATCTTCAGAAAATTGCACCAAAACTTTCTGCAACATATTTTCTTTTGTGTACAGTGTAAGTACAACAGTACAGTTAAAGAAATGTTTCCAAAATTCAAAGTATTTCAAACAACACATAATGACATTTCATAACTAAAGCTTATACACATACATGCCGGTGCATGGACCAGTCAAGACATGTTCCAAAAACTGTTAATATATATATCCTTTTTTTGCATCTGGCCTTTTTAAGTTTAACCCTTCCATAATCTAAACATTTAGAATAAAATAATTGAAAAATATTTAAAATGCCTCTCTTTTTGTTCCCACACCAATCAAACTAAGAAATGAATGAGAGAGGGGTGGAAAAAATAAGAAAAATAGAGAACTAAGAATAGAGAACTTACAGTATTTGTGAACAAAGAAAGTAATGGTTATAGTTGAGGTCTAGGGCCTACTCTATGACTACTTTGATCATTGTTACATTTATATATTAAGATAAATGTTAGATATATTTTAAGGTGACAATACATACCCATCTTGAAAATGAAACAAAAAAGGGCAAAAAAAAAATATAAATGTCAGAATTGGAGTAAACAACAGAGATTTAAATCAACAACCAGTCCCAGAGAAAAAAAGGCTAAGCAAAAACACGTCATTTTTTATTGGCATATTATTCAATAAAACAATTATTTTGTAATGAATCGATAAATGTGTGGTGTTATTTACTGTTGAAAAACTGTTATTCAGTGAGCCGAACTGTAAACTACTTTTTGCGATTAAATAATTGATTCACATTCACACCATGGATGTAATTGGATATCCTGCATTTTATCATGCTTTATCGTACAATGAACGTATTTAAGTCGACATATAATTTTATCATGCTTTATCGTACAATGAACGTATTTAAGTCGACATATAATTTTATCATGCTTTATCGTACAATGAACGTATTTAAGTCGACATATAATTTTATCATGCTTTATTGTACAATGAACGTATTTAAGTCGACATATAATTTTATCATGCTTTATTGTACAATGAACGTATTTAAGTCGACATATAATTTTATCATGCTTTATCGTACAATGAACGTATTTAAGTCGACATATAATTTTATCATGCTTTATCGTACAATGAACGTATTTAAGTCGACATATAATTTTATCATGCTTTATCGTACAATGAACGTATTTAAGTCGACATATAATTTTATCATGCTTTATCGTACAATGAACGTATTTAAGTCGACATATAATTTTATCATGCTTTATTGTACAATGAACGTATTTACAGCAAAACGCACTGAGTGTGTAGGTATAGGTGATATCTTTGGTTAGCTTGCTTGTTAGCTGAACCGTGAAGTCATTATTAAGTTAGGTAAACTACCCTCCTTTAAGAGTAGACTAGTCAGACCGATTACCAATCTATCTGTCTGTAGGACTGTACTACTCTGAAAGGAGGTAGTATACCTAATTATATAACCTAATAATAACTTCACGGTTCAGCTAACAAGCAAGCTAACCAAAGATATTACCTTTACCTACACACTCAATGCATTATGATGTAAGTCGGCATATCATTTTATCATGCTTTATCGTACAATGAACATATTTAAGTAGGCATATTCAATTCTAGTCCTGTTACTAATGTTTAATGTTCATCAACTACCAAACATAACAATGAGAAAGTTTTGTCATCGAATGTATAAATGTTAAAAGCATTATTGTGGTATATAACAATATATAGTTTCTGTAAAAATTAAAAGAGATTAAATAAAGATAAACCTGTTGTTATTTATGATGATTTAAATTTCCCATGTGAATCCTAAACATAAGCGGTATAATATTCAAGGTATATTGTAAATAATTCAGGTATGAAGGATGTACTAAACACTGGTTTTGTATCATCTATAAATTGTGAATTTGTATTCGTAAAAACAGCATATGGTCAAAAGCAATAATATCAAGCAAAAATTCATCGAAGATAATGAATAATTATGTGAACTTAAGACTAAAAAACTAAATTACACTAAAATTTATTGCTGCAAAGCAACTAAATTTCACTGAAAGTTTATTTTCAGTATAAGCAGACTTTTACTTGATAATAAAAAAACATATTCTATTGTTGAATTTTATGTACTTTCAATTAAAACAAACTGGATAGTGCTGAGTATTCCTGGTTAGGTCAGCCTATCAGTTCCAGGCTAGCAGTAACCCTGAAGTGCCTGTTAAAATTATAAATCATGTGATGGTTCAGGCCTGGATTTCTTAATAATAACTTGGAACCTGTTCAATTTGTAGGAAAATTTCTGACAGTGTTTTCACTTCTAGGCGTATAACCCAGGTAGCAAACAGAACTAGTACTGACAAAAATATTTGTATGGAAGTGAACAGCTGACTAATCTTATGAGTCTACATGTTTCCTGCATACTTTTCTTATAATTTAAACCAACTAATTTTTGCAAGGGATTTATTTTTCGGGACTTTTCGTGAGTAGAAATATAACGTGAATATAAATCGCCACGAATATGTAATAACACCAAGAAAAGTAGAACATCGGGGAAAGTAAATTGCTGTGAAGTCAGCTAGACAGGACTATTCGCGAAATAATGTATAGATGCGAAAATAAGTTGTTAACAGCAATTTATCATGTGGGGTATATTATATGAGCTCAAAGCAAAGCCTTAATGGTAAAAATACACTAGTTATTGTTTATATTTTCAGGAATTATCAAAGATTACTATGCCAGTTGTGTTCAATGAGCCATTAAGTTTTCTACAGAGAATATCAGAGTATTTAGAATATGCTAAATTATTAGAACAGGCCAACTTGAGTGATGATCCAGTAGAGAGGCTAACAGTAAGATTTCTTAGATATATTTGAAACAAACATTCATATTCTGTGTGGTCATCAAAATAAAAATAAGTCCTAGGTGAGTTGTGCTGTGTGCCTTTATATTTCTAACATACAGTGACTTCATATAAACTGTACGGCAGTGCTCTTTGAAAATAAACACAAAACTAAGGCATTATTGAAAGGGAGACTTGAGGACAATTTAATGCAAAGGGGAGACACTTTAAAACAAGAATATCTTGGTACTGTTAATTCAGAAATTAATTGATATAAAAATAAGATGTAGTATAATTGCCAATGAGACAACACGCCACCTGAGACCAAATGACCGATGTTAACAACTATAGGTCACTTGAACAATGAGCAAAACCAATACCGCAGTCAGCTATAAAAGGCCCAGAAATGACAAATGTAAAACATTTCAAACAAGAAAATTTATATATTTATGTACAAAACAATGACCAAAAGACAAATTTGCTATACAGCAACAAAAGACAACCACTGAATTATAGTCTCCTGACTTGGGACACGCATAAACAGAATGTGTGCTGGGTTAAACATGCTTGTGCATGTTTAACTGAAGTTCACCAAGTCAATATTTTGTTGGTAAGTTATCTGCAGTGAAGTTTAATATTTTACATATATATCTAGCTTACATATAGGTCCCTAAGGGTAGAATTGTTTTTGAACTATTTAGGTCTTCTTTTAACAGTATGTTTCTGCATTTGCTGTCTCTGCGATCTCATCTAATTGGGAGAGAATTGGTAAACCGTTTAATCCTTTACTAGGGGAGACTTATGAGTTTACAAGGTAAATATTGATGTAAATAAATTTTTTCACCAGAATTTTTAGATCATTTAATAGTTATTTTTTACAATTATGTAGGTTTTATTGGTAAAATAAAATCTTTGATTTTCAGTTTCATTCAAATATATTTTAAAATTTAATCATTAATTAAATTGGTGATATAAAATGCTACTTTGAACAAACTGCTTCTTACACAACATTGGAGATATTTTCAACTAATGTAAAAACTTTCTCTTTGAACACATATTGAAATAATTTCAATTAATTTTATTATCACACTCCACAATCGATTTATTTTTGGAAAATAACCTATAATATGTGTACATACATGTATTAAAGTATAGCTTCAGCTAACACTGCAAATAAATGAGTAAAAATTAAAAAAGGTACAGGGCAAAAAGCACTTCCCTCGGAAAAAGAACTAACAAATGGTACTATTTACATAGCTGATCAAAAATTTTTATTAACAAAGAAAAGTATTAGTGAAAAGATTATTATTTTGAAAGATACCCCATATTCTGTTTCACACCACATTTGAAATTTAAGCTCTGTAATATTGAGTTTCTTCTTCGGTTTATTGTTATTTGATGACCTGTTTCTGTTTCAGGCCAGATTTAGGATTTAAGATAATAAGTGAACAGGTCAGCCATCATCCTCCAGTCAGTGCGTTTCATGCTGAATCACCTCATTTTAAAATACATGGATCGATTTATCCCAAGTTAAAATTCTGGGGAAAATCTGTAGAAGTCAATCCAAAGGGTGTTATTACATTAGAACTTTTGCGGTAAGTATATAGCTATGTAATGGTTTATTTTATCTATACAAAACATCTTTTACTAACTTTTCGAATGACAAAACAGTAACTTATTAAATTTAACTTTAAGAACTTGGTTGCAGAGTTTAAACTGCCTTAAATCTAGTACTTGTCCAATTTCATTGTTGTTCCCATGATGCTACACCTTTTAATTGGTCAATACACTTTGAAAAAATGTTATAGTTATCTTTGATTATTAAAACAAGAGGGAGTTTTCAGCTACAATTTTTAATGTTGGCCAATTTATTTCCTCCAGTTGAAGGACTTTAGCATAAGATAATATGTTTCCTGCTATGTTCCTACAGAACATCAGCGATGTTGGCTGATGTTGTCATTGTGTTCTCAATCTCACTCGACTTGAAAACCAGTTGCTTAACTAAACGTTATGAAACTTATACACTTACTTATTACAACCAAACACAGATCAAGTTCAAATTTGGATAATGTCACTTTCACTGTTCTCAAGTTATGTCCCTTTATAGATGTAAAAATTGCTGAATTTTGCTGTATATTTACAAGCAGGGGCATTTGTCCCATGGACACATTCTTCTCATTTATTTTTATACGACCGCAAAAATTTTTGCGGTCGTATATTGGTATGACGTTGGCGTCGTCGTCGTCGTCCGAAGACACATTGGTTTTCGCACTCTAACTTTAGTTTAAGTGAATGGATCTCTTTGAAATTTTACAATAAGGTTAAATACCACAAAAAGAAGGTTGGGATTGATTTTGGGGGTTATGGTACCAACAGTAAAGGAAAAAGGGGCCAAAAATAAGCATTTTCTAGTTTCCAGACAATAACTGTGGAACGGTGTATGGATCTCTCTGAAATTATACTACAAGTTTCCATACCATAAAGGGATGGTTAGGATTTGCTTTGGGGGGTTATGGCTCAAACCGTTTAGGAATTAGGGGCAAAAAAGGGGGAAAAACAAGGTTGTCCTGGTTAATGGACAAATACTTTAGTACAAAACATAATTTAAAGCAGTGTAAGGGAGATAAATCAAATACATCATTGAAATTACCTCCCTTACACTGCTTTTAAATTATGTATAAAGTAATGATTAATGAACAATTAAGATCATTTAAAACAGTGTAAGGGAGGTAATCCAAATACGTTTTGGTTGCTTCCCTTACACTGCTTTTAAATTATGTTTAAAGAAATGCATATTTATAAAGGAAGTCCAGTAAAAATATCTGCAAATGTTGCATCTTTTTGTTTTACAAAAAAATCCATATGAAAGATTTGACACTATATTTTAAATTCTATTATAAAATAGATTAAGTTAGCACTATGGTAAATTTAAATGGGTAATTATGGTTGCAAACTCCATTGGAAATTTGAATTGAGATTATGACCATATCTTCAGGGAAAGAATTTTTTGGGAGAAAAAAAGGGGGGGGGGGTTAAAAAGAAATTGTGGGGAGTCAATTTTTTCTCATTTCAGATTTCAGAAATTAAAAAGAATTATTCTTCAAATATTATTTTTTTTTCAAATCTCAAATATTGAAAAATTTCAAGAAGTAATATTTAATTGCACAGTATGGTGCATTGGATTTGTAAAATCTTTGACCACATTTATTTATTTGTTATGCCGAATCTAACCGTGTATATAGATTTTTAATTTTGGGTCCAGTTTTCAAATTGGTCTACATTAAGGTCCAAAGGGTCCAAAATGAAACTTTGTTTGATTTTAACAAAAATTGAATATATGGGGTTCTTTGATATGCTGAATCTAACCATGTATTTAGATTTTTAATTTGTGGACCCCGCTATCAAATTGGTTCATATTGAGGTCAAAAGGGTCCAAAATTAAACTTCGTTTGATTTCATCAAAAATTGAATTATTGGGGTTCTTTGATATGCCAAATCTAACCGTGTATTTAGATTTTTAATTTTGGGTCCTGTTTTTTAAATTGGTCTACATTAAGGTCCAAAGGGTCCAAAATTAAACTTAGTTTGATTTTAACAAAAATTGAATTGTTGGGGTTCTTTGATATGCTGAATCTAAACATGTGTTTAGATTTTTGATTATGGGACCAGTTTTCAAGTTGGTCCAAGTTGGGGTCCAAAATTAAACTTTGTTTGATTTCAACAAAAATTGATTATATGGGGTTCTTTGATATGCTGAATCTAAACATGTATTTAGATTTTTAGATTTTTGGCCCAGTTTTCAAGTTGGTCCAAATTGGGGTCCAAAATTAAACTTTGTTTGATTTCAACAAAAATTGAATATATGGGGTTCTTTGATATGCTGAATCTAACCATGTATTTAGATTTTTTATTTGTGGGCCACGCTATCAGATTGGTTCATATTGAGGTCAAAAGGGTCCAAAATTAAACTTTGTTTGATTTCATCAGAAATTGAATTATTGGGATTCTTTGATATGCCAAATCTAACCGTGTTTTGAGATTTTTAATTTGGGGTCCCGTTTTTTTTAAATTGGTCTACATTAAGGTCCAAAGGGTCCAAAATTAAACTTAGTTTGATTTTAACAAAAATTGAATTCTTGGGGTTCTTTGATATGCTGAATCTAAACATGTGTTTAGATTTTTGATTATGGGGCCCAGTTTTCAAGTTGGTCCAAGTTGGGGTCCAAAATTAAATTTTTTTGATTTCAACAAAAATTGAATATATGGAGTTCTTTGATATGCTGAATCTAACCATGTATTTTGATTTTGGACATAGGACCATAATCGGTAAATTACTTAGACCACATTCTTTCTTTGTCAGAAACCTATGCTGTGTCAAATATTTAATCACAATCCAAATTCAGAGCTGTATCAAGCTTGAATGTTATGTCCATACTTGCCCCAACTGTTCAGGGTTCGACCTCTGCGGTCATATCAAGCTGCGCCCAGCGAAGCATTTTATTTCAGATGTAATCAAAATATTTCTTTGAAAGATTTCAAGCCAATACTAATACATATTTCAATCTTTCAGGCATGGTGAAACATATACTTGGTCCAATATAAACTGTTGTGTTCATAATGTGATAGTAGGGACTATCTGGATAGAGCATGTAAGTTTATTGCTCCATGAATTTATGTTTTTGATAGAATTACATATCAACATAGTTTTGTAGATTTGATCCTTTATATGAGTATACTTGGCCATGTCCTTGTTAGGCTTGTAACAAAATAACAGAAGACATTCTGAGATCATTTGCCCAACAGTTTTCAAAATTTGCCAGGATTGTAAGTCATGATTTGTGGTTGACAATGTTGTGCTTCCATTTTGATTGAATGACTTGAGCAGGAGTTATATGAACACAGGTGCCTCATGATGAATGATTTTGATCTAACATTTTTTTTTTTAATTGTATGATGGTTCATACTCAATTCTAATATGGCGTTCTTCTTTTGCTTTGGAAACAAAACCATGCTCTAATTACAATAAAATATGGGCTGCACGTGATTGACTTCACAATTGAAATTGCAACGTCAGTTGTATTTTGAACAACGCCGGAGATCAAAATGGACATTTTTGTTGGTGTTGCTTGCTAGGAAATTAAATAAAATCATTCTAAAAGTAAGTTTACATATATATGTTAACTCTTTATCGTGGAACTGTTGATTTTCTTTAACGTTTTTGGTTCATCAAATCAAAATTGCTGCCTTTCGAACGTGTATTATAGGTCCGCTTCGAAGTACAAAAGTTCTAATTTTTCCTATCAGAATCGAAATAATTCTATCATACCATGCTTTATGCAAATTTTAACATGGGTAGGCATTATATTTGTCAATATTTTACACCTTGCTAACGCTCGGTATAAAGATATTGACAAATATAATGCCTACCCATGTTAAAATGAGTATAAAAAGTATGGCATGAAAGAATTATTTCTTAAGAAGTGAATACAATCTAATAAAAATATCATGAAATGTGTAGGTGAAATATATATCACACTTTCAATGTCTGTCTTCGTTTTGCATTTAAGTCTTGAAATTTTCATATTGCATTATTAAAAGATGGGGGGGAGGGGGGCATTTTACCACAGTGTAGCAATATTGTTACATCAGTTGTCTGTTTATTTTGCAGTGTTTACATTTTAAAACATGAAATATGTAGAGTATTTGACCTATAATGGTTTACTTTTACAAATTGTGACTTGGATGGAGAGTTGTCTCATTGGCACTCATACCACATCTTATATCTAGTAAGGAAATCCAACAAAGGGGCATTGATTTCTAGATTGATCTTATTTGGAGAAATATAGCAGCATATAAACTTAGATTTATTTTAGAGCATTTATTAAGTTTGGGTTTCTTTTGATGCATGTTATTTTTTTGTCTTGTTGAGTCACCATCAGCTTATTCTCTGTTTCAGTATGGTCCCATGGAAGTTATTAATCATAAAACCAAACACAAAGCATTACTTAACTTTAAACAGGGAGGCTGGTTTGGTCGAGATTTACATAAAGTAGAAGGATTTATTTATGATAGCAAGTAAGTTGATCATACTAAAAGTATAACAGGGAGGCAAGATATATATATATGATAGCAAGAAGGTCAGATATACTGAATTTTAAACAGAGGATGGATAGAGATTTATACAAATAGTAGAAGGATTTATTTATGATGCTAGTAACGGCAGCTTACAGACTTACTGTCTCAGTGAAACAGAACAGTTAAAAACAAGCACACGATACTGATTTTACTGTCGCTTGTATTTGGAATGATATTCATTAGGAAAAGATGTCAACTACCTCTAGGGGAAAAAATAGAAGATAATAAACCTGGGCAAATTCTTGACCATAATCTGTCTTTCGTTAGATCACGTAACAGGCTTTTGTTGTCTGCTCTTTGGTCGGGTTGTTGTCTCTTTGACATATTCCCCATTTCCATTCCCAATTTTATTTTGACAAAGCGTTGTTTAGGAAGGTAATATGTGCAAGGGGAACACATTGTCAGAGTTCGCGAAAATGGTCGGTCCTGTCGGTCAAAATGAGGCTCGGACCAGTATTTTGAAGGCTAGTGCCGGTCCCGATGACCGATGTAAAAACGGCCGTTGTAGTGCATATTTCGGCACTTTTTTACATCGTTATTAGATGTACCGCAACTGTTTCCACAAAGTGTTTACATCGGTTATCAGATGTACCCGCTGCCAATTTCCGGTACTGGTTTACGGATTTATTATAAACAAACCAAAGCGGCGATACTAAATTTGTTCATAGAGCCATCCCTGGCAAACAATTGGCGATTGAACCCTACAATGGAGCAAACAAATACTGTTACAGCCGAGAAAATGATTCAGATGATGAAATAGATAGTGAAGATGACTTTAAATTAGAACAATCAGAAGACCTGAACTGGTCCTTCATTGTTTATTTGCCTGTGGGTGCGAAGAATAAAACTAATATTAATAAAGTTATTTTTCGATAAAATATGTTATTAATTTTATTTCAGGATAAATTGACAGATTTTGTAGGACTGGCTAAAATTTTGTAGGACTGACAAATAATCATGCTTTGTCGGTCCCATGACCGACGGGTCAAAATAAGTTTTCGCGAACTCTGCATTGTTGGTTGATAAGCTCTATATAAGGATATTTTTGGAGCAAAATGTAGAAGAAATGTATAAAAGAAACACCAAAAGACTAGTAATAGCGTGTCATTATTTTATTTATGTACGTAAGAAAAGGATATTTTGCAAATATTGCTTAACAGAGCTTAAACCTCTAAAAGCCATTCGTCTGCATATAAAAAAATATATATATCAAAACCAATAATATAAATTTAGTTGGGTGTCAGTTAGGAACTTTACATATTCATTAGACATTGTCGTTCCCTAAACTATGGTAATTTGGTTTTATATAAAGTTTATATTTTGACTTTTTTCAGTAAACAAAAAGTAAAGGCATTATATGGAAGTTGGGTATTAGATATGTACAGTGTCCCTGCAGATATTTATGAACAGCATATGAGTGAAACAGTTAATCATCAGCCATGCCAGCATAAAGATAAAGTGAGTATGCCACCACTTACCAAAATAGAGGGGCATAATGTTTCCAATCTTTCAGTCTGTTATTAGGGCCCAGCCGAATGGCGGGTCACCCTATTGTGATCAGTCTGTCCGTCCGTCCATAACAAATTGTGTCCACTCTATATCTAGAGAACCGTTATAATTTCATACTTTATACTTGACATGTATATTAACCAACACCAGAGGGTGTATCATAATGTTTCCTAGGTCAAAGGTCAAGGTCAAAAACTTTGGTTTCAGTTGACAACCCCATGTCCTATGGTAAAGATAGTGTCCGCTCTATATCTAGAGAACCGTTGTAATTTCATACTTTATACTTGACATGTATATTAACCAACACCAGAGGGTGTGTCATAATGTATGTACAACTTCCTAGGTCAATTGTCAAGGTCTAAAACTTTGGTTTCAGTTGACAACCCCATGTCCTACAGTAAAGATACAAATTTTTTACCAAACGTTATTCACAGCGGGGCCCACAGAGATGGCTCCCATCTCAATGATGTCTAGTTTCATCTGTTTATCCGTCCTTTACTCTATTTGTCTGGTATCAGGTTTATGTTTTGATTTAACCCTTTCGCCACAATTCAGACAGCTGACAATGAGTCCCGGTTTACCGGGATCGGAATACCTCCGTTATATTTCCCGCTGAAAAACATTGCGAACACAAGTCATCTTTCTTTGTTTAATGCCCTGATGAAAGTGTAAACATGGCACTTCCGTTTGTTGAAAACCTGGTCAAAATCAAATGAAATTTACGGATTTTACTGAAATTTGAAATAAGGGAACATTTTTTTGAAAGAATTTTGAAGAATTGAAGCCAAATTAGTATACTTTATACAAAATTTTTGTGGTCGTATATTGGTATGACGTTGGCGTCGTCGTCGTCGTCGTCGTCGTCTGGCGTCGTCCGGCGTCGTCCGAAGACACATTGGTTTTCGCACTCTAACTTTAGTTTAAGTGAATGGATCTCTATGAAATTTTACCACAAGGTTCAATACCACAAAAGAAAGGTTGGGATTGATTTTGGGGGTTATGGTACCAACAGTAAAGGAATTAGGGGCCAAAAAGGGGCCAAAAATAGGCATTTTTGTAACTTCCAGACATAACTTGTGTGTTAGTGTATGGATCTCTGTGACATTGTACCACAAGGTTCCATATCACAAAAGGAATGCTGGGATTGATTTTGGGGGTAATTGCCTCAAAATTTTAGGAATTAGGGGCCAAAAAAGGGGCAAAAAACAAGCATTTTTCTAGTTTCATGACAATAACTTGTGTGTAAGTGTAAAGATCTTTCTGAAATTGTACTGCAAGGTTCCATATCACAAAGGGAAAGCTGGGTTTGAGTTTGGGGGTAATTGCCTTAAACGTTTAGGAATTTGGGGCCAAAAAGGGGCCAAAAAACACATTTTTCTAGTTTCCAGACAATAACTTGTGTTCAAGTTTATGGATCTCTCTGAAATTGTACTGCAAGGTACCATACCACAAAGGGAAGGCTGGGATTGAGTTTGGGGGTGATGAATCATAAGGGGGTTCAAAAAATTTGGGGGGGGGGGGATTTTTTTTTTTTCCTTTTTTTTCTTTTTTTCCTTTTTTTTTCTTTTAAAATTTTCCATTTTAAGTTGGTTATTTCTGATTTATATTTTAAAGCAAATAATAATGATATGGTAGGAGATACACACCAAACAGGATGTGTAAATTATTATATAATAAGTATTGTGCAATAGCAAGAAATTTTCAATTGCACAGTATTGCACAATAGCAAGAAATCTTCAATTGCACAGTATTGCGCAATAGCAAGAAATCTTCAATTGCACAGTATTGTGCAATAGCAAGAAATATCCAATAGCACAATATTGCGCAATAGCAAGAAATTGTCAATTGTACAGTATTGCGCAATAGCAAGAAATATTTAATTGCACAGTATTGTGCAAAAGAAGATACTTCGTATAAATTGCTTATAAATTTCTTGACCAATTTCAATGGGGTTTTATTCTTGAATTCTTGGGGTTCTTTAATATGCTGAATCTAACCGTGTATTTAGTTTTTGGATTTTGGGCCCCGTTTTTAAATTGGTCCACATTGAGGTCAAAAGGGTCCAAAATTAAACTTTGTTTGATTTCATCAAAAATTGAATTATTGGGGTTCTTTGATATGCCGAATCTAACCGTGAATTTAGATTCTTAATTTTTGGTTCCTTTTTCAAATTGGTCTACATTAAGGTCCAAAGGGTCCAAAATTAAACTTAGTTTGATTTTAACAAAAATTGAATTCTTAGGGTTCTTTGATATGCTGAATCTAAACATGTATTTAGATTTTTGATTATGGGCCCAGTTTTCAAGTTGGTCCAAATCGGGGTCCAAAATTAAACTTTGTTTGATTTCAACAAAAATTGAATATATGGGGTTCTTTGATATGCTGAATCTAACCATGTACTTAGATTTTTGATTTTTGGGCCCCGTTATCAACTTTGTCCACATTGAGGTCAAAAGGGTCCAAAATTATACTTTGTTTGATTTCATCAAAAATTGAATTCTTGGGGTTCTTTGATATGCTGAATCTAACCATGTATTTAGATTTTGGATATTGGACCATAATAGGTGAATGTCCAATTTAAAATTTTTAAGTTCTTAGACCACATTCATTCTGTGTCAGAAACCTATGCTGTGTCAAATATTTAATCACAATCCAAATGCAAAGCTGTATCAAGCTTGAATGTTGTGTCCATACTTGCCCCAACTGTTCAGGGTTCGACCTCTGCGGTCGTATCAAGCTGCGCCCTGCGGAACTTTTTATTAGTTTCTGTTCTCTACTTAAGTTAGCCTTAACCAAATGTTATGAAACTTGCACACAATGCTTATTACCACAAAACTCAGATCAAGTTCAAATTTGGGTAGTGTTACTTTTACCGTTCTTCAGTAATGTCCCTTTATAAATATATGCTATGCAAGCGGGGGCATCATCCATCTGTGTCCACATGTGGACACTATCACATTTATTTGACATAAAATACTGTTTTTCTGTATATTACTTATAAATGGACTTAGTTTTGCTTCCAGTTAACATCACATACAGTCTGCAGTTAAAGTTTTTAAAACATTCATTAGATTCATAAACCATCCTGGATTTTTACCAAACTTGGACAGAAGTTTATTACAATCAAAAGATAGTATCTAGAGGAAAATTTAATTTTTTCCCCATTTTTGTTGAGCCTGGGACTAACAGCAAAAGTAGGCGAGACACTGGGTTCCGCAGAACCCTTACGAATTTTTTACTACAATAACTTGAATTCGTTATTATATGTGGGATATCATTTTTTGTGGATTTTGTGGGTAAACTGGAACCATGGATTGAAATGTTCAGTGAAGTACGAATTTTCTATAGGCTAATATGTAAACTTTGGCATCACAAAGAAATCAAATATTCACAAATAAATAAATGAGTCCCCAATAGTAAATTTAAAACAGGAAACCAGTGTCCAATGGTTTGATAAACTACTTAATGTTGACTTATGTCTAACAAACAGTCAGACAATCAAACCACTCAAACTTGATTCAGTAACTAAGTTTTCAGGTATCCAGACTATTATTGAACACACAATGTAAAGATCTTGATATTGTATACAAAACAGACAGCAGGACATAGCTAAAGTTTTGAAAACTTTCAGAAATACAAAATATATCAAATTTCTTTGGGGGATTTTTAAATACCAAATTTCCTACTTTTGAACATTAGATATTCAATTTCTGGTTTTAATTTTTTTTCTAAATTACAAATATTTGACCAGCATTTTTCTTGTTTTAACTTGTTTTCATTTCAATTTGATTTGCAGATGAATGGTTCTAACAACGAAAAAGATGATGTTACAACAAAACATGCAGTATTACATACCTATGATTTACATATCCGTGATCAACAGAGTGTGTGGAAGTGTAGACAGCGTCCAAGTCATTCTGATGAGGTAAGCTTTACAATAGATTTCATATCTATGATCAACAGAGCGAAGGGTTTTGTAGATCACAAACAAGTCATGTTAGGATAAGCTTAGACAGGACGTTCATATCTATGATCAACAGAGCATGAGGTTTTGTAGATCACAACTTAGTCGTAGTAAGGTAATTATAAAAATAAGAAGATGTGGTATGATCGCCAATGAGACAACTCCCCACCAGAGACCAAATGACATAGAAGACCAAAAAACAACTAAAGGTCACAGCACAGCCTTCAACAATGAGCAAAACCCATACTGCATAGTCAGTTATAAAAGGCCCCAAAATGACAAATGTAAATCAATTTAAATGAGAAAACTAACGGCCTGATTTATGTACAAAACATTGAACAACAAACAAATATGATATACAGCAACAAATGACAACCACTGAATAACAGTCTTCTGACTTGGGACAGGCACATACAGAATGTGGCAGGGTTAACTTTTAAACATAGACATGATCAACAGATGATGTGGAAAAGTAGACCAAGACCAACTCAAAATCACGGAGGAAGTAGGTCTCTTCTTATATAAAGGTATACACAGGTTTTCTTTTTTTGGAATGTTAAATATATCAAAAGGGTGCAATTTCACAAAGATTATTTAAAAAAAATAAAGATAACAATAGGTAGAAATCTATATGTCAATGGGTCATAAATGTTCATCTTCTAATAAGATGTCTGTAGAAACTTTGTATTGATCTAATAAATTGAATGATCCCATGTGGTTAACATATTATTAAGATGTCACAGATTGTGTCTATTATCTGGGAAATATATAAATTGATTATGATTTTTCTAGAAAATATATGTATGGCGAGGGATTTTCCCAAAAATCAATTTATAAATGGGGGTATTTTTGAAACCCTAGTAGGATGTCTGTATCAAGATTTGTATGTTTAAAAAAACCCACCCCCTAGTGACAATTGGGTCAGCTTATCGAAGCATTTTGTGAGGGTGGGACTGTGGGAGGGAACCAATGAAAGAATTGTGACCAAACAGATCTAAACTAAGTCATTCCTTATAAGTTACTGTGATGAGGTAGAACACAAGTAGGTTCTGGTTCATAACTCCCTGTGCCTATATCATCCTGCTCTGTGGTTCTGTAATTCCCTTGTGTCACAGCTTAGTAATGTAAGATCAGGGCATATAATCCACCTCATAATGTCAGAGAAGTTTTTATGCTGCAATTAGCCTATTTTCCAAAAGGAATAAAAGTGTACAAATACAACTGTATTTTAGACAGTAATAAAATAAATAATATCCTGGCATCATAGTTCAATTATATTATAAAGTTAACAATACTTTGTAATTCAAATTAAAGCATACTTCACATTTTATTTTGATATCATTGCAATTTGTATCCAAACAATGTCGATTTATATTGAAAATAAAGTAAACAGAAAGGAATTATAGTACTTAATCTTGAATATTAAATTGTAAGATAAAAACGACAGAAACAATATACAGTCGAATCTCGATGTGTCGAAAACTCGGATGAGTTGAAGTAATTTCTCTGTCCCAGATAAATTCCCGTTTGATCAATGCATAATTACCTCTGATGAGTCGAACTCAATTCATTCGAATACTCTGTTAAGTCGAGTAAATTTTATAGTCCCACCGATTTAAAGTTCATGTAAATCGACCCCGATGTCTCGAGGTTCGAAAGTAAGAATTTTCGAAAGATGCAGACCTAATGATAAAAAATTCAAATCGGAATTATTTCTCATGTAACCTAATCATTTTCAAGAGAGATTAAAGCTGAGTAAACATACTTGTTTGTATAACAGTTAAAATGACATGTTTATGGTAGCCGGTAATTAACACCTTTGTCGATTGTGCAAGCGGAACGTTAGTGTGTTGAACATATTTCATATGAGGTGAAAACAAAACAAATTTAAATGACCCAAGCCGAGATTATATGAATCGTTAGAATTAAAACTCGTTAATTACAATAAATAAAAGGATTAAGACAATTATGATAAATTCATGATTATTTCATGTAAAGCAGAGGACCTTCAGATCTTATTTCGTTCCGCGAGTGATTTCATAATTTATAGTGACTGACCTTTGTAAATATTTGTGTAGACTATTGATTTTATTTGTGCATGATTTGTGTTTGTACTTGTGTGTTTAATTGTTATGAAGGACCAAAAATGGAGATTGAATACACAATCATAAAGTGCCATATCGAATAAAGGCACACTGTTCAAAGTATCTAGTTTACGCAAATTCATACCGTATTTCATGCATTCCAAATTTATGACGACACACTCGACCTCGGATAATTCGAACCTCTGAAAAGTCGATTACTTTGGTCTGGTCCCTTCGACACAGCGAGGTTCGACTGTATGTACAATGTTAGATAGTATAAAACTTGTTTGTACTTCCTATTTATCAGGAGAAAAGCTTTATTAATTTGGTGACCTTTTGTTGACATCCACTTTATAACGCTACAAATGAATTTTTATTTCTGGAAAATATTAACATTTTGTATATACATGTATTAAGAAATGAGAGCAACCAAACAATGTCTAAGCATTTAAACAACTTATTTCTAAATAAATAACCATTTTCATAGTCTCTTGGTAGCGTGTTTGCCTCGAGTGTGGGAGGTCTTGGTTGGAACCCCGACAGGATTAAACCAAAGACTTAATATTGGTATTTGCTGCTTCTCTGCTAAGGAAGCAGCATTAGGGAGTAAGAGCAAAGACTGGTTAGCTCGTAGTCAGAATAATGTGTCTGTGTACGGTGACATGTCTTCCTGTGGACTGTTACCTTGTGAACTAGCAGGTTGAAAATCCAGCTCAATGTTGTCAGTCTTGTACAAAGCAAGGTTAATATTCATTCTACATTGAGAATTTACATTTAATTTGCCACTGGACATTAAGTAGCCATCCATCATCATCATCTGAATAAGTATGAAGTCAATAATAACATGAAAATAAAACATAAATGTTCACAGAATCTGAATTTTAAAAGATATCATAGAAATCTTATCTAACAGACTTGAGTTTTAAAGAATGACATAAGATACATATCTAGTGCTGAAGACTATGTTGCCCTTCAGATGTCTTTTAGTTATTTTTATGCCCCTGCTGTAGAGGAGGGGGCATTAAGTTTTACCCTTGTATGTCCGTACCTACGTACAAAGTTGGTTTCCGTTCTCTAACTTTAGTTTGCCTCGACAAAATGTTATGAAACTTATACACAATGCTTATTTCCACAAAACACAGATCAAGTTTGAATTTTGGTGGCGTCACTATAGCCGTTCTAGAGTTGTGCCCCTTTACCAATGGAAAAATTGCTGAATTTTTCGTTTCTGTTCTTTAACTTTAGTTTGCCTCAACCAAATGTTATGAAACTTATATACAATGCTTATTACCAAATAAATCAGATCAAGTTCGAAATTGGGTGGCGTCACTTTTACTGTTCTTGAGTTATGCCCCTTTATAAACATAAAAATTGCTGAATTTTTCATTTCGGTTCTCTAACTTTAGTTTGCCTCTACCAAATGTTATGAAACTTATACACAATGCTTATTACCACATAATACAGATAAAGTTTGAAATTCTGTGGCATCACTTTCACCGTTCTTCAGTTATGCCCCTTTTTAAACATAAAAATTGCTGAATTTTTCATTTCCGTTCTCTAACTTTAGTTAACCAAATGACCACACTGCTAATTACCACAAAAATACAAATAATCAAGTTTGAATTTTGGTGGTGTCACTTTTACCATTCTATAGTTATGCCCCTTTACAAATGGAAAAATCGCTGAATTCTGTTCTCTAACTTAAGTTAGCCTCAACCAAATGTTATGAGACTTATACACAATACTTATTACCACAAAACTCAGACCAAGTACAAATTTGGGTAGCATCACTTTTATTGTCTCTTAGTTATGTCCCTTTATAACTTTATATGATATGCAAGTGGGGGCATCATCTGTGTCCCATGGACACATTCCCCATTTATTGTTTTAGTGTTTCTGTTTCATTGAAATATACCCCAAATTTCCTTTTAATCTTGCTATGGTATTTACCAGAAAATTCTATTAGATTATTTTTTTTCTTTCAGTATTTTAATTTTACATATTTTGCCATGTCATTAAATGAGCTGACAGAAGACGTAGCAGGCAAACTAGCACCTACAGACTCACGTTATAGACCAGACATTAGGTTGTTAGAGGAAGGTAAAATAGGTAAATATCATTAATAGTTATGAAGACTGAGTATTCAGGGAATAAACTCAAGAGACCTCTACTATATTTGTCAACAACAAAACTGGAGAAAAAAGAAGAAAAGGTTGAGATATATTTTTGATGCCATCTTTTATATTTCAATTTTGATAACAAAGTTTGAAAGTGACACACTAGGATTGATATAAACAACAAAAATTTGTTTGACCAAAATAAAATGTATTTGTACTTTGACTCAATGAATAAGTTAATTGATAAACAATGGATGAATAATCAACATAGTTAACACTACAGATCGTGAGGTCTTCATAGATATACCTTATGCTTCTTTTTTAAAGAGTGTTGTAAAATGGGGGGGATATGTGCCCAAAAAATTCATTACATGTTGCTTTTTTACCAATTTGTTTGAAACATATTGAAATTGAAAATAAGTTGCACGAAAACAACCCTTTGAAATCACATTAAAACATAAGTTAGAATTCTAACAAGAAGAATATAAAATGTTTGAAACAGGATACAGATTGTGCCATAAAAAGGAAAATAAATAAGTTTGCATCACATTGAATTCAGAATCAGAAAAACAATGGTAAGTTCATTTATTTTCATGCATACCAATTTTCATTGATTTAGGAAAAATTGAATTCTCATACATATTTGAGTTTTGTCAGTGTGCATACAACCTGATGTTCAGTGGTTGTCGTTTGTTGATGTGTAAAGCTATTGAATCCAAGGATAGCAGGGAATTAACATCATACATATATAAAATGATAGATAGACAACGTCATCTATGCACGATAAGTTCAACAGGAGTATTCTACATAGTTCTATGCTACCAAATCAAAAGTTTATATAAAAGAAAGAAGTCAAAGGTTTCCCATCAAAGTTTAGTTACATACATTTTTTTTGTACCTGAGGTCGTTGAATATAGATCATTATACAAATAAGGAGATATGGTATGATTGCCAATTAAACAACTATCATCCATGCTTACTAGTAACAAACCACATTTGCAAAGTTGAATAAAATACAGTTGATACCTGGTATTTATTCCTAAAAAGAAACTGCCCAACTATATTAAACAGTATTTGACTGTAAACAGGGTACACACTGGACATAATGCACTAGTTCATAAACAAGTCAGAACAATCACCTTCATATAATGCTCAGAATATGACATTCATGAAACCTGTTCAATATCATTAGAGAACTCTAAATCTTAAATACTGGAAGCCACCTCTCATAAGTACACTGTACTACACGTACTATGCAAAATAATGATATAACTGGACTAAAATTACACACAACCTGTAATTAACTGCCTTTACAGCGCTTTCGCGCTTTGATTTATATAGATTAGAACTTGGTTTTCCTGTTTAAATGGTTTTACACTAAGTCATTTTTCGGGGCCCTTTAATGTGTGCTGTTTCGGTGTGAGCCAAGGCTCTGTGTTGAAGGCCGTACTTTGACCTATAATGCTTTACTTTTACAAATTGTGACTTGGATGGAGAGTTGTCTCATTGGCACTCATACCACATCTTCTCATATCTATATACAAGCTTATACAATAATAGTACTACGTTGAACATTGAAACGTGTGGTTCACCTATACCCACATGAGAGATAAACCCCCAAAATGGTATTCTGCCGGGAATCCACAGTAAGTCTTTTAATTTATTTGAAGATGCTGCTTCTGAAGAAAAGAATAGGTTGGAAGAAAAACAAAGAACATCAAGGAAAGAGAGAAAAAAGAAGAAAGACGAATGGACACCTACGTAAGAATGGTTCTAAGAATTATTTTAGTTATCTGCTTGAATATCATTGAAAAAAACAGTGAAACACTATAAATGAAATATCTGTTATCTATATATCCAGGAGAAAAGATAAAAAACTTAATTGCCTTTCTTAAGCCAGTTACAAAGGGCCAGTGTGAGCTATTGTCATAGCTAGGTTCCAATGGTAAATTTTAACCCATTTATTTTGTATTTACTTATTATTTCTAAACTAATTATGGAAAGATTGAAACTCAGTCCAGTAAAATTTATCAAGTCAAGATTTTAGCCCACAAATTTTCCATTCTACTTAAATATTCTTGTTGCATTTTATACATTTCATGCAAAAATGAGCAATGCAGGCTCCTTGGAGCCTCTTATTTTTGTCCTGAAAAATTGTAAAAGATTTCCAAGATTTGTAATTTCAGATCAAACCTCTTTCAGATCCAGATCAATATTTTTTTTTACCAATATCTGAGCTTGAGCTATGTTGACAAAACATTGTGCTCTAAACCATCTCCAGTTTATAAGTTATCTCACAAATGTCAACTACAAAACTGGAAATATTAGGCAGCTTATATTGCAAACACTGGAAACTTTCTACCTTCCCAGACAGCACAAGAGGAATATGAATTATGGAAATGTTGGACGAACAAGACAGCAACCCAACAATATTAAGTTAAAAAAATGTGTCTATGCCATGGTTGATAGACCTTACTTAGTTGTGATCCATTTTTCCTTTTACACAATAAAATATGTTTTAACTTTGATTGATGATGATGTATTTTTTTCAGCTGGTTTAAGTTAGGAAAAGATCAATACACGGGAAAAGATACATGGATTTTTACTGGTGAATATTGGGATAGGAACTGGCAAAAATCACCGGATATTTTCTGATGTTAATTTTTATTAGTATTCAAATTAGCAATGTGTCAAAATTTCCCTAAACCAGGAAATATGTTCATGGGAGATAACTCCAGGACAAATACCCTCATGGAAATACCTGAAATCCTATTTGTTCATGGAGATGGACAGTTTAGAAAAAAAATATGAGAATCAGATAGAAAGAAAGTGTAACACTGAACATGGATTTTTCTTCTTTGCTGATGGTGTTAGTTGGATTTACAGATTATTCTGATTTGATGGTTAAAATGTAATTCTATTTGTCAGTAATAATGGATATTCACAAATTTGTCTTTTTGCACCTATAGAAAACTTTTGTGTTCAATTGCCTTATCATATACCCCATGGTATGCAGTGAAAATTGATAAAATTGTGTATTTTTTCTGGTTTTAACATGGCCATAATTTTTTTATGTAATTCAGATTTTTTATTTGAGATTCCTATTAAAATTAGTTCATGATCCATAATTTTGACAGTTTAGACAAGTTTCACAACATTCATGTTTTTATGGTCAAAACTTATGACGCAGCAATATATTCAACCATTTTGTTTAAGTATGTGGTATTTTAATTATAAAAAAAAACAGAGTAAGTACTACTCTCCTAATTATTATATGCAAACTTCTTCAAGTGTCCTTTAAAATGGTGCGTTATTCATGGTTTACGTTACATCTGTGGCCTATCAGTACAATATACTCAACATGCTTCAGGTAAAATTCATGGTTAAATGATTCACTGAAAATCCATTGTACAAAATGTTGATTTATATACCTTTCTGTAATATTTATTGAATAGAGAGATGTTTCATTGAAATCACTCACAAAGATTGTTTAAATGATTCACTTTTTGTGTATTGTTTATCTGCAGTAAGAATAGAATAATACTGTGAAAAAAAAAAGGTAAAATGTTTCAAGTACCCCATTTTTTTAAAGAATTTATTGTTGATATGCAGTTGGGGATCCAGGGGGGGTTCCCTGGGGTTGGACACCCTTTTTTTGATGATCAATGCTTTTGAATGGGGACATATGGTTGGAACCCCCACTTTATCCTGGATTGGAACCCCCCCCCCCCCCCTCCTTTAAAAATGGCTGGATCCTCCCCCTGATATGTATATACATAAAAGAACATTACTACTACATTTTAAAATCAAATACTGGTACCTGGTGTGCAGTAAATGCACAGGGTCCAGTTAGAACCTAAATAGCCATAAATACTTTAAAAGTATCCATGATTCGGTACTACCTTTTATAGACACAAGTCATGTAGAACATGTAGAATATAATTTATGTTGCATACTTTTTTTGATAACATTAAAGAGTCTACAAGTGTACTGTTTACAAATACCTGTTGACTAATATTTTCATAAAGTATAAATATGTTAAGTAATGTTATTCCTGTTAATAATGAGAAAATGGTTACATTCAATCAAAACATTTGTTAAAATATTCTCAATTGTTAAGATAAATCAGGGTTAGAAGTTCTTAATTAAATGCTTTGTGTTTGTATATTCGAGAAAATGGTATCAGTTCATGCCAAATTATTTGTTTTTATTGACCTCACCCATATTAGTCAGAATTATATTTTTGGATAGGAAAAAAGAATTTGACACTGACAAATATTCCATAAATGCTTGCATAAACTTTTATTTAAAACCATGTTTATACCCTCAATTTATTGAGATCTAACCATGCTGTGTTGATGTCAGGAGTATCAACAATTGTTACCTTGGTGAGGGGCACTTAAATCATTTTGTGGAAGGGGTAAGCTCCAGAGATATTCAGTACCCCAAACCCTTTTCATATATTTTGAATATTAAAAAGAAAACATACCCTATCATATTTTTTTTCACTGACAAAAGACTTTATACATATAATACATATGCTATTTTATGGAGAGTGCAAATAGATGATCAGATATCTGGTGCATTTATAGCTGGTTTTGATTTCATCTTTGAAAAAACTAAATATTTCAGTTTCTTATGATATAAACGTCAGCCTTATTAAATCTAATTTTCTCCCACTTATCATATATTATGAAGCTTAAAATATTGACATATTCCAGTGGCTTTTCCTTACCACTCATTACATAGTAAGTGGCCTTCCCGATAAGGTTACACAGCCGAGACACATCTCTGTGTGTTAACAGTTTCTATCAAGATATATGGTACTCATGCAACTAATATTACTTTTCAAAGGTGTTCCTCCAAATTCAATGAACCATATTCCATCAATATGATATGATTTGATATTATTTTGTTTTGATATTTCAGTGTGTGCAATAATAGCACTAATTATGAATGGTTGTGTTGGTTATGAATAGTCTTTTATTTTCTTATGTCTACTCATTGAAATGTATAGTAATATCTCAAGATTTTCTTAAAGCAATTTGAATAATGGAGATCAGCTGCAAGGCAGCAAAAAAGTTTGTTGATTTATGATTTGGCAATTATAATTCTGTTTTACCATTGTAATATTCTATAATAATAACATAACTATGATATGGATTCCATAATAGCTTCTCTTGATTGGTCAAAAATATATGGATATGTACATTGCTGGTTAATGATTGGTCAAAAGTATGTGGATATGTACATTGCTGGTTAATGATTGGTCAAAAGTATATGGATATGTACATTGCTGGTTAATGATTGGTCAAAAGTATATGGATAAGTACATTGCTGGTTAATGATTGGTCATAATTATATGGATATGTACATTGCTGGTTAATGATTGGTCAAAAAAATTGATGTGTACATTGCTGGTAAATGATTTAAAAGAAATAATTAATTCAATCCTTGCTTGTAAATGATTATTCAGAAGTGCTTGCAAAGAGTGTATGTCCATATAACTAACAAGTATTGTTTGAACATGTTCCAGTGGACACCTTTAAGGTATAAGATAAGGTGTACAATGACTTTTTTAATAAATTTGAATTAGGGAATAAATAATGACAGGACAGTGACAAAGCTACTAAATTACTTTTTGTCTGTTTAATGTGGATTCATTATTACCGTGGATTCATTATTATGTGGATTACCAATTTTCGTAGATTTAATGGGTATAAATAAACCATGAACTTAAATGTTCAGCAAAGTACAAATTGTGTATACACTTGTATGAAGATTGTAGCCAAACCACAAAATCAAATACATGTATCCACAAAAATACAATTTTTCCTTAATCCACAAAAATTTGGTATCGACAGAAGTGAAGAAATCCACTGTTTGTTAGATTTCTAATAGATAAACAAGTAATACTGTTTGGAAAATTCTTTCCACTTAAGAATTCATGTTTGATTTTGATTGTTTTATTTTATAGAAAGGTAATGGATGAGACATTTCTGTGTGTACACACTTATTTAATTTATGAAAAGTAAAGTCATTAGCTATGTCTTCATGTATGTGATATTTTTTTCTGTATTAGAACTAGGCACCATGAGGATTTTATTATATATACATGATATATAAACTATGCATTGTAAACATATTACCCTTAATTGTAAATATTTTTTTCCTAAAAAATTTACAAATGTTAAGTTTGTGAGAGATTTATGAGAGGCTATGACATGTTGTTTTATTTATATTCCAATGCCCATGTTTATCCATTGCATAAATATTCACACCATTACAATGTCTGTCATGTCTGGGAGTAATCAACAGTGTGTGTTTCTGCCATTAATATATAAGGCCAACAACGTATATTTTTCTTCTTTTTTTGTTGCAGTAGAATAAAATTTAATTTAAGAGAATAAAATTTTAATTTTGGAAAAAAAAATGTGTTGGAGTGAGATCTCGACTTTCAAATTATATTAGTTTTCCGTTGTAATGTTAATATAGGTACCTTTATATATGGTTTCGACATACAGGTCAGCTAACACATGGTTTAGAGGTAAAGTTGTTTTAGTTTTATTTATTACTATAATTGCACATTATTAAGATTTTTTTTAATTTTTGTAGCTGTAAAAAAAAAGTTCATATATCTAAAGGATAAACACAAATAAGGAGAAAAAAAGAATTTAACTGTAGCTGTCAATGGCATAATTATGTCTATGAAGTATTTCCTTTCTTGGCAACTGTCAATTTTTAAAATTTTTATTGAGATCTTCCATTTTTACACATTTACAGTTGGAATGAAACATGACATAGATTGCCCTACTTAAAATTTCTTGTGTTGACATTTCTATCACAGCAGAGCTGGATTATGTTAATATTACTCGTAAAAAAATATCTTCTCTGTTATAATCTTATATTTGTTTTCTAATATTTTGGTACTGAGCTTGGCCGGTAAATTGATTCGTCCAATTGGTCTGTTTGTTAAATGTAAAGTTGACAAAATTAACAGACTTGCTGGACGAACAAAATAATATAAAATTGGAGGGAAATTTTTTTTTGTATTGACATGGTATAATTTGGGCATTATATTCCAGTTATTGGCATTGTCTATGCACATAAATGATGTGCACATCAAGTTTTAGTCAGAGTTAACAGAGTAAGCACATGTTAAATGATGTTATGTGCAATGCACCAAGTAGTTTACATTTATGTAGAATCTTCTGAATTAGTTGTAAAAAATGTTTAGACTTGCATAATTATTAAGGTTTTTGTTGAATGTATGAGTTTTTATAGTCTTTCATTTCAATATTACGTTGAATGTGTCATGAGGTTATGAGCATCTGTGTTGAATGTGTCATGAGGTTACGTTTATTTGTATTGAATGTGTCATGATATGCTAAGTTTATTTGAGTGAAATGTGGCATGACTGGCTATGTTTATTTGAGTGGAAAGTGTGTCATGATATGCTAAGTTTATTTGAGTGAAATGTGTAATAATCGGCACTGTTAATCTGTGTTATGATTTTGTGATATTTATGATTATTTATGATTTTATCAAATGTCACAATAAAAATAGATGATGAATTTTTTGTGTGTATTTATCTGGCCCTGAATAACTTAGTAATGCTCAACAGACATATGGGGTATATAAATGTCAGTGAGGTAACTGCTCAAAAGACATAGGGGTATATAAATGTCTGTGAGGTGACTGCTCAAAAGACATGTGAGGTATATAAATTTTGGTAAGGAAACTGCCAAAAAAGATGTGGGGTATATAAATGTCAGTGAGGTAACTGCTCAAGAAACATGTGGGGTATATAAATGTCTGTGAGGTATATAAATGTTGGTAAGGAAACTGCCAAAAAGATGTGGGGTATATAAATGTCAGTGAGGTATTTAAAGATGTGGGTATATTAATTTCAGTGAGGTAACTGCTCAAAAGATGGGTAGGTATTATAAGTGTCTGAGGTATCTACTCAGACACATGGGGTATATAAATGTCTAATGTAACTGCACAAGACACAAGTGGGGTATGTAAATGTCAGTGAGGTAAATGCTTAAATGAGGTGGGGTATATAAATGTCCATGAGGTAACTGCTCAAAAGATGTGTATATAAATGTTGGTGAGGTAACTGCTCAAGACATAGGGTATATACATGTCAGTGAGGTGACTGCTCAAAAGACGTGAGGTATAGAAATGTCATTGAGGTAACTGCTCTAAAAGACATGTGGGTATATAAATGTCAGTGAGGTAAATGTTCAAAAGACATGTGGGTATAGAAATGTCAATGAGGTACCTGCTCAAAATATGTGGTGTATATAAATATCATTAAGGTAATGGATCAAATGACTTGTGGGGTATATAAATTTCATTGAGGTAACTGCCTTAAAGACGTGATATATAAATGTCAGTGAGGTAACTGCACAAATGACAAGTGAGGCAACTGGTCAAAAGAGTTGTATATAAGTGTTGGTGAGGTCAAAGCTCAAATATAAATAAATGTCAGTGTAACTGCTCAAAACAAAAAGAAACATGGGGTATACTAATGTCAGTGAAGTAACTAGTCGAAAGATAGGTTATATAAATGTTATTGAGCTAACTGCACCCAGACATGTCGGGTATATAAATATCAAAGAGACTGTAATACTACTTATACATAATAGTTACTTTCACATTTCCTGATGTATATACTGCCCCACGGGATATCCTTATTTAGCATATACAGGAATATTGATTTCTGCTCAGGCACTTCTATTTTTTAAGTAAATACAGTACTTTTGTCCCAAAGGCAGTTAATCTATCATGACCATATAATAGGGTTGTAATGGGGGTACCTTCGTGACAAATAACGGTAAAAAATCTTGCCAAATGAGGTTAACAGTAATTTTTGGTGCATGATGATAAAATGTACACACTTTCTTTATGACAATAAAAAAATCGACTGATTTTGACGAATCACATTAAATTCTTTCCAAAAATAATGATAATGGTTAATTAATTGAGACCTCTGACGAATCACGATAAAATTTTAACCAATTTGACGCTAACGGTAGTGGAAAATGACCGTTTGATGCCTGATGGTAAAGGGCATCCTTACCCTCATATAAAATAAGTAGATGTAGTAAGATTGGCAATGGTATATACAACTTTCCAACAGAGACTTAAAGGCCATAGATGTAAGAAACTGTAGGTTACTGTACAGCAATCAACACTGAGAAAAATTCATACTGTGGTTTTGTACATAAATCAGGACATTTTGGTATGTCAGTATAAAAATAAGGAGATGTGGTATGATTGCCAATGAGACAATTTTCTACCAGAGTTCATATGAAGAAGATAAAAATAATTATAGATCACAGCCTTTTATAGCTTGCTAAGTGGTATGGGTTTTTTTTAATGTTGAAGGCGGTAGAGTGACCTATAGTTGATGATATCTACGTCATTTTGTCTCTGGTGGATAGTTATCTCATTCGCATTCATACCACATCTCCTTATTCTATATACATGTAGGAAGTGTAACAGAAGCAAACAGACTATTGACTTGACAGACCAACTAACAAATGTATGCCAACTCAATTATGTCAAATCAAATTAAGTTAGTAACAGACTAAATGTGGTATTCCTTCCAGAGAAATATTAAAACGTACTTATTCAAACATGTAAATTATAGATTGATTGATTGATTGTTGGTTGCTTAACGTCCAGTGGCAAATATTTCATGCATATTCAGGACGAAGTAAATTGTAGAAATGGTGCAATCTTTACTTCACCGAACTTGTGGGATTGTGGAACATAATCTAGTAGACAGGCCTAAAAGGCCAAGAGAAGTTAAACTGCTACTACAAATATTGGACTTTAAGCTATTCCTTAATCCTGAGAATTTGACAAGGCCAGAAACAGCACACCTGTCTTGATTTTTGACTCTGTCAAGGTAACACAAAAATTAAATTATGAGCAGGTAAAAGGCACAAAACAAACTCCAGTGGAGAGTTGTCTCATTGGCAATCATACCACATCTTCTTATTTTTATATCCATTCTGCCTCAAAGTTTTTAGAGATGACTTAAACAGTCTTGCCTTTTAACACTATGGAAAAAGTTTGGCTCCTCTGGAAAAAAGCACTTTGGATTTGCTTGTATGTCAAACAATTCGTTAATTTTAATTGCCTGTGTGTGAGAGCTTCCGAATGTTCAGTAGTTTCCTTTGATATTACTTTTCTTCATCATCAGGGTATTAAATTTCGTAGTTTTTATACGACCGCAAAAATATTTTGTGGTCGTATATTGGTATGACGTTGGCGTCGTCGTCGTCCGATGTCGTCCGAAGACACATTGGTTTTCGCACTCTAACTTCAGTTTAAGTGAATGGATCTCTATGATATGTACCATAAGGTTCAATACCACAATAGGAAGGTTGGGATTGATTTTGGGGGTTATGGTACCAACAGTTAAGGAATTAGGGGCCAAAAATAAGCATTTTTGTAACTTCCAGACATAACTTGTGTGTTAGTGTATGGATCTCTCTGACATTGTACCACAAGGTTCCATATCACAAAGGGAATGCTTGGATTGATTTTTGGGGGTAATTGCCTCAAAATTTTAGGAATTAGGGGCTAAAAAAGGGGCAAAAAACAAGCATTTTTCTAGTTTCCAGACAATAACTTCTGTGTAAGTCTATGGATCTTTCTGAAATTGTACTACAAGGTTCCATATCACAAAGGTAAAGCTGGAATTGAGTTTGCGGGTAATTGCCCAAAAGGTTTAGGAATTAGGGGACAAAAAGGGGCCAAAAATAAGCATTTTTCTAGTTTCCAGACAATAACTTGTGTTCAAGTGTATGGATCTCTCTGAAATTGTACTGCAAGGTTCCATATTACAAAGGGAATGTTTGGATTGATTTTGGGGGTAATTGCCTCAAAATTTTAGGAATTAGGGGCCAAAAAAGGGGCAAAAAACAAGCATTTTTCTAGTTTCATGACAATAACTTGTGTGTAAGTCTATGGATCTTTCTGAAATTGTACAACTAGGTTCCATACCACAAAGGGAAATCTGGAATTGAGTTTGGGGGTAATTGGCCAAAACGTTTAAGAATAAGGGGACAAAAGGGGGCCAAAAAAACAAGCATTTTTCTAGTTTCCAGACAATAACTTGTGTTCAAGTGTATGGATCTCTATGAAATTGTACTGCAAGGTACCATACCACAAAGGGAAGGCTGGGATTGAGTTTGGGGATGATGAATCATAAGGGGGTTCAAAAAATTGGGGGGGGGGGGATTTTTTTTTCCTTTTTTTTTCTTTAAAATTTTCCATTTTAAATTGGTTACTTCTGATTTATATATAAAAGTAAATAATAATGATATGGTTTGAATAGGTAAATTAAAAAAATTTAAGTTCTTAGACCACATTCATTCTGTGTCAGAAACCTATGCTGTGTCAAATATTTAATCACAATCTAAATTCAGTGCTGTATCAAGCTTGAATGTTGTGTCCATACTTGCCCCAACTGTTCAGGATTCGACCTCTGCGGTTGTATCAAGCTGCTCCCAGCAGAGCATTTTATTGAAAAGGTAATTGATTCATGGGGTTTTGAGGTAACATTTGCACTAAGTGCAATCAAAACTCTTAAACAGCTTTATTGAAGGCCTCATCTTTACCTAACATAGTGCAGTGAGATGAACATTTTTTAGATTCTGTGCATGTCTGTGTCCAGCAATGTGTCACAAAATTATGTGTATAACCATTGCACACTTTACCAGGTAACGTTTATAAAATATTTAAGCACTGAGGGGTCAAAATAAATCCAACTGAAAAGATTGCACATATTTGTTTCAATGCTTAATTAATACAATGCATTTCACAAAGCAAAATGAAAGCATTTTTTACGTCTCAGTGCTAACACACACTTTAAATAATTTGTGGTTTCTAAAATGGAAAATGGAAAATAGGTTTTATGTTGACCACTACATTTTATTTTTGGATGGAACCATTAGGTTCGCTCTTCCTAGTAATCAAAACATTGACATCAATCAAACATTTAATAAGAAATAATAAGTTACAGTAAGCTACAGTAAGACATGTTAATGACCTCTATGGATATAAACTTAAATATTCACAATTGAGTATTATAAGATCACCACTTATACTTCCCATAATAAATTTGTCTTGTTGATCCATGCTCAATCTTATCTCACATATTACAGCTTAGTGCATTTAGATTTATTTAACCTGGCAGTAATAACTCTGACCTAAATCTTATTGACAACATGTACCATGCATTTGACATGAACCTATGAAGGTTTCTCCATACCACACAAAACAATTAGTGCTTAAGGTGGTACCAAACACCTTGACTAAAACTAATTTGGCTTGTTTAATTTTCATAAAATTTTGACAAAATATTTACTTTGACCCTTTGACAAAAATATAAAAAATTTCCAAAAACTTAAACCACACACTTTATCGGAAAAATTTCATTGGATATATAGCAGTTTGACAAACACTAATTTTGATCATTGAGAAGCTTAATATTTCCTTAACAATAGAACATGATTAAAATGTTCGGCAGATTTTTTAAGAGTTATCTCCCTGTAGTGTTATGTACCACCTTAAATTGATTACTGCTTATTAATTTATTTTCCTGGGTACCAATTTTCGTGCATTGAGAAAACAAATTATTTTCATGGATATTTGATTTCTTGGTTGTGCAAAGTCTGCATACAAGCCTATAGAAATTGTATACTTTGTTGGGAATTAATATTCATGGTTCACCTATACTAAAGAAAGAGTGGTGGATTTAGAAAGCCTCCCCCCTCTTATATCAATATGCAGAAAAAGTGAAAATCCCTACTAATATATGTCTCAGGATGAATCTTTTTATAAAGCTAGTGAATTGTTTTTTGTAGCTTATAAGAGGATTTACAGTCTCTATTTCTAACATTTGGAAATGCTTTTTTAAAGTGATCAAAATACTTGGGAAAATGTATTTTGAATATAATTCTTTTGAAAGGAAATCTAATTCTAAAGTTAGCTTAGATATTTGTTTGTCTCAGAACATTTCAGTTTTTTAAATTCAAGAACATTGTGCAGTCATGGCATCCCACTACTGCACACATGTCTTTCCATGATGCTTTAAAAAAAAATCAGAAAATTCTGCATTTTCCTTTCTTAATTGAACGAAGTAAAACATTTTAAATGAAATAAAATGCCAAGTGAAAGTAATCGGTTGTAGTATAAAATGCCAGGTGAAAGTAATTGGTTGTAGCACAAAAAACCAGGTTAAAGTATTGGTTGTAGCATAAAATGCCAGGTAAAAGTAATTGGTTGTAGCACAAATGCCAGGTGAAAGTAATTGGTTGTAGCATAAAATAATGGGTCGTAGCATAAAATGCCAGGTGAAAGTTTGTTTGTAGCATAAAATGCCATATGAAGGTAATGGGTTGTAGTATAAAATAATTGGTTATAGCATAAAATGCTAGGTGAAATTAGTGGGTTGTAACATAAATGTCAGGTGATAGTAATGGGTTGTAGCATAAAATGCCAGGTGAAGGTAATCGGTTTTAGACCAGTTAAATTATCCCACTGTACTAAAAAAACAACAAATAAACAAAGAAAATAAAAATATATACATATCTTTTAAATGGTAGTAAAATTCAATATAAACTAACTGTTAAAAATATTTCAAGTTTTCTATTTCTTCATTTTACATGTCACACAATACATTTGTACACACATATGTAAAGAACACAAAAAATGCACCTGAACAAACAAAATAAAAGAGGTACTAATAAATTAAGAACTACATTTTGTAAAAAAGTCATAAAGTTACAACTTATAGTTAGTATATTTACTACAGTATAAATAAAATTAGCACAATTGCATAGACTGAATATACATATTACATGTAAAATATTCTCTTTTGCAAAAATATATAGGAAATTTTATGTAAAATCTTTTTTTAAATGTAATACTTCAACAATATGAAACAACCAACACAATCAAACAACTTCAGAATGTTAAATATTCTCTTTTTGAAAAAAATATATAAAAAATTTATATTTTTTTGTTAAATGCTACAATTCACTAATACGAAACACAATAAAACTACAGCAAACTAATAAAGCAAAAACATAAAGACCACAAAAAAATTTTGTTTTAAAAACCTATTTTGGTACATTGTATTCTTCAAAATTTGTAAAATTAACATCATGTTAAAATGTTCTGTTCAGAGTTTCTATAACCTTTAAATGTTGTGATAAGGCATTAATTTTTTTGACAAAAAAAAGTCTAATTTACAATAGAATATAGATAAAATGATGTAAACTTGTACATTTTAGTACGTTGGACTCTCTGTGAAAGGTTAAATTGACATTTAAAGAACACAAAATGACTCTAGCGTCCTGCATTGAATATTTTCCACTAGAAGGTTACATTCATTGCTTTATAAAGATATACACTCTCCAAAGACCTCCTTAATATTCAAAGGCAAGATACATAAAAAACATATTACAATCATTCAAATGACACAATTTCCCTTGGATTATAGATTATCTATGGTTTTGAAAACAAGTGGGAGCAATAGTCCTGAGATTAGATGTAGCTGTGAAAATTCCTAAAGTCGAAAGGTCATTGAATGATCGATATTAAACTAGATGTGTTGGAATAACACGAATGGCCCCGGTTGCAAAAAAAGCTTGAAGCCATTTTAGTAGTGGAAAATTTCAAAGACCAAAGCCTGTAATTTCAGCAAAAATCAGTGGAGCAGAACTAACCATTCACACCATCGGTAACTCATCATAGTAGACTAACATACTAAAAATCAGCTCAATATGTGAAGGCAATTAGAAAAAATGTCTGTAAAACTGTTATTTTCTAATTCCAAAGCCGGTAATTTCAGCAAAAATCAGCAGTGCGGAACCAAAGTAAACTCTATCTGTAACTCATCATAGTAGACTCACATACTAAAAATCAGCTCAATATGTGAAGGTGTTTAGGAAAAAAACATACAACTGTTCCTTGCGGAATGACGGATAAGGGTAACACTATATAGCCCCGACCTAAGTCGGTGGGGCCATAAAAATCTGTGTATCTCTTTTTCTTAGGAAGTGTCAATGACAATGGCTTATGACTTCATTGTGTTCTCATTCTACTCAACTGTGAAAAAACAATCAGAGTAGCTTGAGATGGAAAACTATCACACAAAATTAATAAAGCAAAATTAAATATCTAAGCCACATTCAGTAAACATTGAAATCAGGGTCAAATGACTCAAAATATTTCTCATTTGGCATGTTTTAAAAAGTTCACATCACAATGAACATGTGTAATAAGTTTCAAGTGTATGTGACCACAATGTCATGGTAAACTATTGTTAACCAAAACTTTCTCCTGATATGGGACACACTAATGGATGGACAGAAGCCCAGACCAAAAAATTTAATGCTCCCACATTGTCGTCGGCAAGCTTAAGGCATAAAAATAACAATTTTACTGTGCTGCCAGCTTATTGCTATACATATTAAAAAGAAGATTGAATGGTGAGTGCAATTTGATATTTCTTATGTGAATACCTAAAAAATTCAACTTTCACACTCATATATGGAATGTCAATATGTGCGTATCTCCATAAACTAAATTTCCCTTGCCTATGCCGCCATGTAAAATTATTTTCCCATCAACAGTTCCACAAACATGCCCCGCCCGATTAATATCGGTAGTTCCTACTTTGTACATTTTAATTGGTTTAGCAGTCAAAATAAACATGTCCCCAACTGGCTCTTTGCTCTTCCCATCAAATGTTTCCCCGCCATGAATCAAAAGGGCTCCTTTTCCAGTAACAGTTACATGATTTTTTCTTCCGGATGGATATTTTTCAACCGGTTTCAACTTTTGTGCCACTTCTATGAACTTCTCTGTTGATCCACTATCTGTTAAGACACTTTTAAAGCTAGATTTGTATTCCAGAAGTTCATTGTCTCTTCCACCGATTATAAAAAGAGTTGAGGCAGCAACGTTGGCAGTGTGCCCAGATCTAGATGCTGTAGCTTGCGTATATTCACTGTAGGTGAACTGCTTGTTATCTGCTGACCCATGTAGAAGGAAACCACTTCCATGTTTTCTTTGAGTGCGTAAACCTCCTTCTCTTCCAATCACCAAGATAACTCCATTATCCATGTGTGTGGCTGTATGGGAGCTCAACCCTCCTCCCTCTGGAAACCCAGTTACAGTTGGGAATGACCAAAACTTCTTTTCTGTGTCGTAAACATAAACATTTGATGTTCTGGTCTTTCCAGTCCAACCTCCTACGAGCACTAAATATCTGTTTCCAAGTTCTATTGCAGCATGGTGGCTGAGTGCTGGACTAGTAGGAGATGTAATTTCATTCCACGTCATAGAGGAATCAAGACAATAGAATCTATTTGTTGGGATCTTACTGTCCTTCTTTTCTATACCACCATGAATGTAAAAATTGTTCCCTGAAAAGATAAAACATTTAGAGTCGAGATTCAACTTTACACAATACATATGGATCAATAAAACCTTTTTCTATAGTGAATTATAGATATAAAATAAGGAGATGTGTTATGATTGCCAATGAGACAACTATCTAACAGAGTCTTTCTATGTTGTGATGATACACTATTGTTTCAGAAAAAGGGTGAAGGTTTGGTACCATCAACACGTTAAAACACGCTGCAATTCTTTGCACCTGTCCTACGTCAGGAATCTGATGTTCAGTAGTTGTCGTTTGTCGATGTGGTTCATAAGTGTTTCTCGTTTTTTATATAGATTAGACCGTTGGTTTTCCCGTTTGAATGGTTTTACACTAGTCATTTTTGGGGCCCTTTATAACTTGCTGTTCGGTGTTAGCCAAGGCTCCGTGTTGAAGACCTTACTTTGACCTATAATGGTTTACTTTTATAAATTTTGACTTGGATGGAGAGTTGTCTCATAATACATTGGCACTTATACCACATCTTCTTATATCTATCCACATGATGAAGACGCAACCTTAGCAGCTACAGGTCATCATATATACTGTCTTCAACAATAGCAAAACCCATACTATAAAGTAAGCTATAAAAGTCTCCAACATGGCAAAATGTGAAACAGTTCAATATAAAAAATCAACTATCTGACTGTCCTGGCACTTATTACAAAACACTTTGACGATGCCATAACATTTTATCAAGGTTTTGGGTAGTGACAAATCAGACACACGTTATTTCATGTATTATGGTATTTTTGTATTTTCTAGATTTATGTGTATTGTGATAGTGAAGTGATGTAATAAAATGTGTTTTGACTTTTATGTCATATTTTGTTATATAAAAACAAATGGTCACTGAGTCTTACAGTATCTAACTTTTGAGTTCCTTATTTTTGTCTTGCCATATTTAAAGTAAATATTATAAAGGGGATATATGAGTTCATATTCCATGTCAGTGTTTTATATCCTCTGAGCCATAAGGCGGAGGGAATATAGGGTACTGACATGTACAGGGAATATAAGCCTATATACCCTGTGAAGCCCTAATAAAGATTATATATATGTGCTTAGTTATGTGTGAGCTATTCATAAATTACAGCATTTTGCACATTTATAATTCATTTGGTTAAACAGAGTGAATTGAGAGCATAAATGGGTGTTACTTACCTATTGTACATCCAGCATGGAAGGCAAGGTTAGGTCCTACTGGATACACTAATTCCCATTCCATTAACAATTTTCCTCCAGAGGCCATCTTCAAGTACATTTGTCTACATAATGCTGAAATTGAAGAAAAACAAGGTATAGTTTGTACATGCAGTGAGGCCTTTATTTAATAACATAGAAACTCCAAAGCTCTCAAACAATCATGTGTAGTGTCCTTCTAGGCACCAGTCCTGTATAATGTAAATTTTCTGTTACCAAAAAACTCAACAAGTTTGAAAAAATTTTAAACTGTAAAATTCCAATACATTTACAAATTGTAACTTTTAAAATAAAGTATTTTTGACCTAATCAATAGAAATATATGTAACACTCTCAAATGTCCCCCAAAACGTGTCCAATCCCCAAACATATCTATTTCGCTAAAACGTGTCCTATGTTTTCATCCTCAAACGTGTCCAACAATTGTTATTTGCAGAAACATGTCCTCTTTAAGACGCCATAACGTCTAAAACCTTTCTGTGCTAATATGTTGTCTTTGACGTCAGTAATGTCTATTGCAAATTCAATCAATGGATACGATTGAAGATGTTGGAATTTCTGCTTGAGTCAAAAGGAAAAGAAATAAAAACAGCTATCCTACATATAGTTCAATACAGATGTATTTTTGGGACCAATCACAAAGATTAAAAACAATACAGAGTTAAAAGAAAAGAATTCAAAATGGAGACTTTGTAAAATTTGAACGTGCAATTTTTTTTCAACAAAATAATAATCATATTTGTTGTGAAAACCGAGCTGTGGAAAACGTACATGGTATAACTGAGATGAAAAAAAATGAATACATGAAAACTATCTGATACAGTCATGACTGTGTTCTGTCTTTGCAATTTTTAATTTGGACAGAACCCACACTTTTTATATTTGACATTCTGTGCACAATTTGCTTCAAATCATAGAACCCTACTGCACCCTATTTACAACAAAACAGCACCCTTTAAAAATAACAATCAAGGGAGAACATTTTCAAGATTTTTTTCTGTGCACTTCGTCTAAGAGCCTGTTATAATCTCGACTGGATTTTATTTCAAACAACATTTGTAATAACGAAACACTTTTTCATTAGGTTTAACACGTTTGGGTGTTTTTAATATATGAAAAGGGCACATTTCACCGTCATTCATCAACTAGATATGTTGGGAGTTCAGTGATGTCATATGGATGGACACGTTTCTGAGTGTTACATATATATACAAAATATATGTTCCCATGCTTTGTTCTAGATAAGTGATCTTGTTGAATTGAAGACCTATACATTTTTGTATATATAGAAAGGTAGCATTCTTCAATACCTCTGCTAAACTTGACACTGTTGTGTTTACTTGTCACTACACCAACAAGAGGTACATGTATGACCTAAATCTCGCAGTCAGATAAACAGACTGTATGATTTAATAATTTTTGAGAGATTAGTGCATCATGTGATGTGTTTATTATATAATGTACATTATATTGACAAGAACCTGAACGAAAAAATTAGCACATTTCTATCCCTACTGATTTCTCAAGGAAATAATAGATACCAACTCTGTCAAGAATGTGATAACATATGTACTTGTGGAGTATCTATATCGGCTGCTGCCATCGGTTGTCAATAAATTGTTGAAACAAATTTTATCACATAACAGTGGTTACATGTAATTATTGATCGTATTAATCCAATCATAATTTGTTTCCCCTATATAAAAAGAACTGAATTTTCAAAAGATCCACAAAAAATCGGTAAATATTTGATAGAAGAACTATAAAATCAAATGCGTTATAACGATTGAGAATGTCAGTCTGACAAGTCTTGATTTTTTTTTTAAATCTAACTAATATCAAATGTAAAGTGCATATTATGAATCTTATGCATAGACAAATACGCATGTATATATATACAAAAAATGTATATACTAGTAGTATTTCAATGTTTGAACAAATTTATACCGATATGTCTTAAAATGTTGATTTATACCATGAAGAGATATGAATAGCTTGCCGTATGGATCTTATTAACAGATACTTATTAATTCACAATTTATAAATCAATAGACCTTATAGCTATTTGAAAATCTGCGCCACTTGACCCAAGAATCTGCACCTCTTGAACTATTGACGTCATACAACAATCACTTTTCCTTTTTGGCGTCAGATATTTTTTATTATGACGTCAAAATTTTATTGGAACCTTTGTGATGTCCAGTAATGGCGGACAAATAGCGATAAGGTGTATTTAATTGGTCAATTTCTTGTGAATTGTTGGATTTGTAACTTGTCCAATAAATGCCAAGGTGACAATGGCTCCAACCCGTTCCTTCAGAGAGAGGAGCTTTAGATGGAATTGCAGACTAGTTTATACCAGTATAATTCACAAATGAGACAGCGGAGTTTGGTATTTACAGGCACTGCAGAAACAATTTTGTCCAGTACACCAGCTGGAGTTGTTTTAAACTGGTTAACAGGTCAGGAATAACCACCAATTGGTGGATTATACCTCAATTGATGTATAATCCACCAATTGACATATAATGGTATAGACTAATTGACGTATAATTCTTTGTTTTTCAAAGCAAATTATTCAACCAAAATGGAGCATTGTTTTCTTAAAACCATATTATTGTATGAAAACATGTCAAACATTCCTAGTTTAGTATAGTGACATAACATATTGCATTTAATCAATAATTGTATTTGCAGTTTCTTCTATTGTTATTGTGACGGGATTGCTTCCCTTCATTAGTAGATATTTAGTCAGCTGTAAGCAGTTGAGCTAAGGAAGTACTTCTTTAGCTCAGTCGGTATACGCGCTGCCTTGTAACACAGCTAGAGGTCCAGGGTTCGAGTCCCGGTGGAGACATACGATTTTGCAAGTAGAATCATGCTCTCCGGTTACATTGGCGCCCAACAATAAAAACCCACGGTAGTTAGAGAGGATTTCTAGCTAGGGTATGTGTGTGAGAGTCATAATGGTATGATGACTCTTGAGGTGGGGGAAGTGTGACGGGATTGCTTCCCTTCATTAGTAGATATTTAGTCAGCCGTAAGCGGTTGAGCTAAGGAAGTACTTCTTTAGCCCAGTCGGTATACGCGCTGCCTTGTAACACAGCTAGAGGTCCCGGGTTCGAGTCCCGGTGGAGACATACGATTTTGCAAGTAGAATCATGCTCTCCGGTTACATTATCTTGTCAATTCTTGATTGGCAAATTTACCACTAATCACCTGTCAATGGACATCAATACTGTCTGCAGTCATGTGATTATGAGTTCAACTCCACAGGTGAATGGAGCTCTTTGTTAAAACTTAACTTTCATTATTAAAAGTCAATCATGGTCAATAGTACAGATGTTTCAACAAAAGAATTGTTGTACACATGCATTCTCAAGAGATGCAGCAGGCTTTGACAAAACTGAAACTTTCGGAGGACTCAATAATGGTCATAAAATAGGTTGTAAGTTGCAAAATGATGCTCCTATCTCACACTACCATTTTATAACAAAAAAACTTGCATTATACGTCAATTGGTCTATACCAATATATGTCAATTGGTGGATGATACGTCAATTGAGGTATAATCCACCAATTGGTGGTTATTCCTGACCTGGTCAAATGAGGCATTCTTAGGAGGAAATAATTGTGTACCTGTAAAAGTGGATTCAGTTATAAATTACTACAACATATTTTTTTAATTGAGAAGTGTGAGTTAAAAATGACCATGAAAATGAGTTTGGGATAAAATCTTGAGAGGACCCCCAGTCATCATGGCAGTGGTGTTTAAACAAAATGCTCGAAGTAAATTTGTCAGATGTCTTTGAAACTTGATTGTAAATGTTGTGCTGTGAAAGAAGATAATTTTGTCATTGAATAATATTATTTAATTAACGTAAAACCGACTAAACCTATTTGGTTTTACCATGATAAAATCTGGTCTTTCAACTGTTCAACTTGTTTACACTCGATACGACGTTGAAGAGCTTTCGACAAGGGAGATAATCCGGATTTGCGTTCTGTACACTCCTTCGGTAAATCCAAATTATATGCTATAAAGAAATAAAAGACGGCTTCTTTAACCAAAGAATCTGTAAAGTTTAATTTCATTCGAAAAAAAAATAGCTGATTTAAAACTTAACTAGATGTCACTTGCATTGTCTTTTTCTTTGACATGCCAAAAAGTACTGATGGTGCTACATCTCTAACAAACACATTTTTCTCCGTTTAAAGACAAAGACGAAATTTCTGGTATCATGGCGCATGAATATTTCTGGTGTTAATAAAACATATTTTTTAATAGTGTAATTTAGGTGCAGAGCGTTTAGATAAGTCATGACAAACCAGCCGCAAAGGGTTATTTCGGCAATGATCATGAAGTGAGGGCCTGCATGGTGAGGTCCCTCTGGTATCTTTCGTCCCTCTTTTACAGAATAGAGAATACTGGGCCAATAATCTAGAAAACCAAAAAAAAGAGAAAATGAGAATAAAGAAACGTGGGTGCTAAAATATCAAGAATTGAGAATAATGGGCAAAACTAATATAATGGATTGAGAAAAATGGCTTTCTCAGAATCAAAGAATACTGAATTAAAGGGACCCTATTTTCCTATTGCTTGTAATTTAAAGGTTTTGTTGGCTTGCTTGCTTTGTTTGTAAAAATGTTTGCTCAAGCATTGTAATTAAGATTGACATCTGTAATCATACGGATAGGCGGGGCTTCAGCTTGTATACATTATAAAATTGAGAATGGAAATGGGGAATATGTCAAAGAGACAACAACCCGACCAAAAAGCAGAAAACAGCCGAAGGCCACCAATGGGTCTTCAACACAGCGAGAAAATCCGCACCCGGAGGCGGGCCGAGTTCATTAATATACTCTGCATTATACTTAACATCCAATAACATTTATAAGTATAATGTATACAAGTTGTAGCCCCGCCTATCTATTGATTACAGATGTTGACATCTGTAATTAATTACAATGCTTGAGCAAACATTTAAGCAAGCCAACCAAATCTTTAAACTGACTACAAGCATTAGGAAAATAGCTCTAAAAGTTTCTTGGAACATGTATTAACTAAACAAAATTTTAAAAGGTAAGAAAAATTGAAAAAAAAAATTTGTTTTCGTTTACAGCAGACACATTTCCAGGCCATCCCATTCCAATTTGATATTAGATTTGTGAATTGATTAGTACACGCAAATTGTTTCCTTTCTAAAATTTTCGGACATTGAGTTCCATAATATGCATGGGTCTTAGCTACTCTGGGACTATTATACTAACAATATATTATGTCCGAGGTATGGGTTCAGCATATCGAAAAAATTTGTTCTAAAAGTAGTTGTTTTAATTGATGGAATTTCCAATAAATTAACATATTTCAAACTATACTTTGTGTTTGATTTTATTAGACTCAAAGGAGCTGGGCCGTTTATGATTTTAAAAGTCTATAACGTCACCGTTCTCATTCGTCTAATTTTAACTTGGGAGCTTCACCCAGTTATATATCATAATATGAAAGATAATCGTTGTCAGTGGCGTAGCTAGGCCATTTTTGAGTGTACGCTCGAATCTCATCGAGGGGTTCGAGGTCCCCTAAGCTGGTCCAGGGCAGGAGACCTTCTGGTAGGTCGCGAAACCCCCCGGAAGTTCACGCGTTATTGAGAAAAAGATACCAATATCTGTCATTAAAAACTCATATCAATAGCAACATACTTGATCGGATATAAGAACACAACTTTACGATAAAAGAGATGATTTCAGCTTCCAATTGTGAACTTTTCTTTTCTATGTAGCAACATTCCAGCAGCACCTGCATATGGATTATAAACCTCCAAGTTGATAAGACATTCCAGAGCTTGCATTTCCTTGATAGATGGTTGCTGTTTAGAAGGAAGCTACTGAACCAAGTGAAGAGTTCCAAGTGGTGAAGTTGAAATCATTCCTTCGAAAATTTTACGGTCGACATCACGAGTAGGTTGACCGTTATGGAATATCTGTTTCACTGATTGCTAATGACGACGGATATATTAAATTTTGATATTACAACAATCCCGTCCTCTTTTTCTCGAGTGTGACCTACCGAATTAGACTTATCACTGGGTTTGTACATACATCAGCAACACGACGGATGCCACACGTGGAACATAATTTTGTTTTGGTGTTGTGTTTTGTATACTGTTGTTTGCCTTTTCGTAGTTTTCGTTTTTTGCCATGGTATTATCAGTTTTAAACTGATGAGTTTGAATATCCCTTTGGTATCTTTCGCTTCTCTTTTAGAGTCTTATTTGTTTTTTATGTTAAATTTATCAATTTTTGTGTTGATTTGGAATCTAATGTACATTTAATTAAGAGAAAAATGTCCAAACCAGTTGCTTTAAAATATGTCCAAAAGGAGATGTGGGGTAAACAATCAATCAACAAAAAAATCTAAACTTTAAATAGATATTAAAACACACTTGTGACGTAAATCTATTGTTATAACTGTCCATTATTTTCCAGGAATGGAGAGTTATTTCTTATTGTCCGTCTTTAATTAGGCGTATGAAATACCCTTAGGGAAAAATCTTTGTGACTAATACCTAGACTTTGTAACCGATGACAACAATTTACCTAGAAGACTTGCCACAAGTACATTTGATATTTATATTTGTCCCCTCTAACATTGTTTCCTATCAAAATGCAGTAGTTTTACTTAAAACCCCCTTTTGAATTAATGTTCCATATTACTGCATATTTTTATAGGAAAAGTGAAAGAGAAGAAAATAAAAATAAAAAATGTACTTGTAAGAAGTGATTACAAACATCAAACAAGAAATACATCTGCACTTGTGTTCGTTGTATCGGCGTTAAGGGGACATGACGACTGAAACTAAAAAAAAAGAATATAGGGGCACTGCATATTTATTACTATACTCAGACATTTCCAACATCAAAACACAACACTGACTGAAATATTACACTTCACTTCATGGAAATATTCAATGTTATTGACAAATTGCCATCAGATTTGTTTATTTTGAACTTTCCGGAATCATCGTTTTCACTATCGGTTCGTCCTTGGATAACGGAATTGATTTTCCTTTTCTGTTTTTCATTTGTTCTTTTGTAATTTCTTACAGCATTCGATCTATGACCCGTGACCTCGCATATTAATTGCTCATCTACACCAGCGTCGTACATCCTAGTTGCGGCAGAAGCTCAAAGCGAGTGGTTAGTGCGGTAACCACCTATACCTGCTTCCTGACAAATGCTAGCTACAATGTTAGCGAGGCTATGTCTACCAATTGGTTGATCAGCATACCAAATGTTTCCGTTTGGAATTTTCAAAGGTCTCAAGTACAACGCATCGGCTTTCCTTGGAAACGGTGGACAGTGAGAAGCATATAATTCAAACAAATTCACAACGCACCTAGCTTGATTTTCGGTATTTTGATATGCCACCACAGATTTTCTTTTAACGTGTTTATGCTTGATACCTCCTTGATCTGCCTTAGATTTTGCTTCAGTATAAATCAAACACTTTGAACCATTTTTTTCATTTATTTGAAACTGTGATGAATTTCCCCCTTTTAAATCTCTGTGTTCCTGGTCATCTCTTAATGCAAAGTTTAAACCTATTAAATAGACTAACGTATTCAATAAATGACGAGCGTTATCAGATCCTAATGAACTACTTGCCCATAACTTTTCTTCCTCCTCCAAAGAAATTTCTTCGGCCTGTTTTTTAGGAACGCGAACTTCTGCTCGTAATTTCATTACATTATCTAGGGAATTTTTTATCTGAATAAAGCCAGAATCAGATAGAAACTTATGATTATATCCAAGTGTATCCATGTATAACTGTAAACAAATAACCAGAGAATAAAGCTTATCTGGTGGATATTCAGTTCCATCAGTTTTACGAACTTCACAAATAAAGCGGGAAATGGAATAATTCAATTCATCAAGCGACATTTCAGCCAGATCTACGCGAATTATACAATATTAAGAAACAATAATAAATATTCAAGCAAAAATACATATCTACTCTATATTTCAATAATTAATATTAATCGAATATTGCAGTTATGAGAGAGAGTTGAATTTATAAAAGAGTATGATTAGGGTAGACGTTAACGAGACAGCAACCTAACGATATAAAACAAGGTCTATGAAGGTCAGCATACACGACTATAAAACGAATATTTTCTAATAATGTATGAATAAAGGGAGACGTGGTGTATACACAAATTAGACAGCAACCCAACGATACAATATAAAAGATATCTAGATAGGCGACAACATATACAGTTTTCAACAATAAACAGCTTCATATCGTCCCGAGTTTAAAACAGTTAATAACTTAACACAAACTGTCAAAGATCTGACAATACGAAATTCCTAAAAAAAAATTACACAAAAAAACCAAGAATATAGGACATGCAAATATATGATTGTTTTATATCACTATTTATATTTAACTATAGAATTATACATTGCTCCCAAATAGCTCCTGATATAGAAATATAGTATTTAACCGTATTTTGTATGTCCGGCTGTAATCAAGTATCAAATGGAAATTAAATTCCGAACCTTAATCTTACTATCCATATCTGTAAATTCGTTGGTTAAAAACTTAAATAAACACTGTTTGTGTTTTACCATGATGTATTATATAATATAAGTTCTTTTTTGTGCACAAGTAAGAAAAAAAACCAGTATGAATAAGAAGGCGATATTGGTCAAACTTTTGTTTAGTCCGACTGTGACAAAATACCGACAAAAACTTGACGGCCGGACGAATCTTTTGTGAGAAGTTATTTGCTTATTTCTAAATATCAAACTAAAATATTTATTCCAATACAAACAAGGAAAATTACGCAAACTTCCTTATTTTTTTGATGTACAGATGAACGAGAAGACTTTATCACGGCATACAACTGATCCTTATCATTTTGTATGAGACCTTTATGATGTAATCATGCACAAAGGAAGACTGC